TCTGTTAGCAACTGTGAAAGTTTGCTCCATCTCTAAGTCCAGGGAGAGGAAGAAGCTGAGAAACGGATAGAACACAAAGCGGCCCCTTAGGCAGCACTCGGCATGTGCCAGGTCCTGTGCAGCCATTTCTTATGTGATCTCCCTGACAACCATGCCAGGCAGGTGTCATGATGGGGAACATTCCATAGGTAAGAAAAAAAAAAAAAAAAACACAGAGAGGCAAAGCATTCTAGGCAAGTTCACACAGCAAGCAAAGACCACAGGAAGGATGCCACTCAGACCTAGATGTCCCCCAGGGCCCCTGGTGTGACCAACACCCCTGCCAATTACCTCAGGATCCGAGTAGATGTCTGGGTCTCTCTGGGGACTCAGGAAGGGGAAGAGGAGGAGGCGGTCACCACGTCGCAGAGAGAATTCCCGCCCATCGGCCATGGGCATAGCCATGTCCACCACCACCTCCCGGGTGATGAAGGGTGCAGCTGTGAGCCTGAGGGTCTCATCCAGCACGCTGTCTGCACGGGCAGTGAAGGAAGGGTCAGGTCAGTAGGCGGTCCTCAGGTGCCATGCCACCCTCATGTGACAAAGGAAGACGAAGAGGCTCAGAGAGGGTCCACGCCTTGCCCACAGTCACACAGCAAAGTGAAAGAGGCCGGATGTGATCTCTGGTCCCTCAGAGACCTTGAATGACAGGAGTCTGGGTCTGACTCCAAGGGAAGCTGTGAGAAAAGGAGGGAGCCGGGGGGACATCAGAGTGCTGGGGGGGTCTGTATCTTCGCCTGCCCGACATCCCCGCTCTGAAGAGGCCTCTGGCATTCCTCTGGGGACTACCCCTCCTACTGCAGGAGTCAGGATCCAGGCCTATTCTTCACTGTGGAACTGGACTTTGACGGGCCAACCAGAGCGCTGCCATTGGTTAAGGATGGGCCTATGACCCAAAGGGCCAATGAGACCAAGTCTGGGATTTAGTTAGAATGATGAAAGGGACACCCTCACAGAGCAGAAGGCGGTCCGTCTTGAGCTGCTGGCAGCCAGCCATCTTGCCAACCCGAGACTGGAGCCAACCTAGGGGAAAATGGGCTGAGAGGCGAGAGAGAACTGGTCTTGATGACATTATTCAAGCACCTGGATCCACCTGTGCCTGAAGCCAGATACCTCTGGACTTTTCAGCTCGGTGCCCCAAATAAAGTCCCTCTTCCACTTCTCTACTAGGACATGAGCTGTGGGGCAGGTGAGACTGCAGAATGGAGATGCCAGCACTCCAAAGGCAGCAGGCTCTGGGGACCCTGGTCAGAGGACACTGACGGGCCCTCACATCCATGCTGGGAGACAACTCAGGCTTGGGGGCTCTCCTGGGGGGGTCTGGCCATCTCACCGAGCACGGGCATGTTGTCTAAGACCGTCTGCGGGAGGGTGGTCGTCTGGGAGACGGGCTGCTCTGCTCTCCAGAGGACGCGCTCCAGCTCCCCGCGGACAGCAGCCAGGGCCTCGGGATTCTTGAGAAGGAAGAGGAGGAGCCAGAAAGCAGCAGGGCCCATGTTTCCCTGCAAGAGAAGGAGCCCGATGCCCACTGTGACGGCCGGCCGGGCTGGTCTCGGCCGTGGGGGCAGCTCTGGCCAGGGAACGGGGCTCAGGTGGCTGGGGCTCCACCCCTGCCCCCACTGGGCACTAGCAGGGTCTACCTCCAGCCTCAGCCACAGCCAAACTCTGCTTGGTGCTTTGGCCTAGCCCAGGACCTATCTCAGGGCCACTCCTGGCATCGCTGACCTGGAGCAGACTCCCTGGACCGAGGTCACGAGGATGCTCCTCACAGCCCATCAGCAGGTGTCAGGGACAGGAACATGGCTTGTCCATTAGGACTACTGTTAACATTGGGGATGAGCAAGTCGCCGGCCCCAGTTTTCCCCACTCCCTAGATCTGCACCCTTTACCATGTGACTCTGAAAACTGCTAAGTTTTAAACAAAACTTATTTGAAACTTCTCAATAGATAAATAGGAAAATCAATGAAATTTCTTGCTCCAAGGCTGAACACTTCGGTAAACATTTTGGCCTCAGCTACTCAACAACCATCAGTGACCTAATGTGGATGGAATATGAAAGACCTCAAGTTGAGGAAAGGATTCTGTCTATCATAAATGACCACCCTGCCCAAGTTATAATGAAATATGAAATCGTGACTCAATATCACATCTCCCCAGGAACTAATCTCATTGCAGATACACGTGTCACCTGCACACAGCCAGGTCATATGTGCAGGACACCTACTGCCGTGCTAACGTGACAGGGAAACGTCGGAATGGGCTCCGTGTCCATCCACGGGAAAGCAGCTGAATGCATGGTGAGCAGCCCTGGGGTGACCACACATGAAGTCGTCAAAACCCCGTGCAGAGCCAGAGGAGACGGGCAGCTGCCACCTGTGTGTGGGGACAGGAACTGGCTGTGGACACCTTGAAGAGGTACAGGACCTGGTCGGGAGGTTGCCTCTGGGGAAGAGGGTGGAGGACAGGAGGTCGGGGGACGGGGACGCTCTCTCTCCTTACACACTGGAACACTCTGGCAGATGCATGAGGGTGGAGGGTGACTTTACAGTGATCTGCAGTGACATGAGAGGCCCTCGACCCAATGTTGACTCAAGCAGAAGGCGGAGTGAGAGTCAGGGTGGGATCGTCCCCCAGGAGACACAGGGAAGGGCTGTAAAGGGTCACACGGAGCCTGGGGATGGAGATGCCTTCCTGTCCTTCTGTCTGCGCGCTCAGCACTAAGGAGGCGCCTCTCCCCCGCGCCACCCGGCCATCAAGCAGGCGCCACCATCAGGGCCTTTATTGAAGAGGACAATAAAGGGGTCCTCCTGGCTCTCACCGCCCAGCGTATAGAGGTCTCCAAGACACCGGACGGAGACCAGGGAAGCTGGGCCATCCCAGCTCGTGACTCGTAAGAGTCACCTCCGACTCCAGGCTAGAACCAAGCCCGGCCTGAGGGTGATAAGAGACCCCTCCGGGTGGCCACAGGGCTGCCGAGCCTGGTGCAAGTGACCCCACGTGTGGTCACATGGCCCCGAGCACAGAGCGGGGAGCTCCAGGGGACACCCCTGTGACGCCCGCCCCTCCCCAGGGTTGAGCACAAGTGGGGACAGCAGGCTGAGACTGCCAGGCCCCTCCCTGTCCATCACTGATGGCCGCTGGCCTGGGGAGTGTGGGTGGTGAATAATTCAGCGCTGGCGAGCTCCCGCCAAGGCCCTGTTATCTTGCCTGGAGGATCAAAGGGGCCACCGCTCGTTAACCGCCCAGCAGGAGGGGAACCCTTGGGCCCCCAGGACACAGCAAGACGGGCGTCCCACCCAACCGCACAGATGTGCGTGAGCGTGCGTGTGTGCAAGCACGCAAGTGTGGCCACACAAGGGATCCCGAGTTCAGCTCCCCGGAGGTCGCACTCGCTCCTGTGGGGCCTTGCCTCAGCCAGTTCCCTCCTGCTGCGGGGAAGCCCGAGACCAGGGGCTGCTGCTCTGTGTCACGGCAGTCACTCAGGGTCCCGCGAGTCCCGTCCTAGGCCCCCTGGCTGCACCACCAGTGGTGACGGGCACCTGCTGCCTACCTGTCCTGCAGACGCTCTCTCGTCCTCAGGGGGCAGCACCCACTCTCCTCGGCTTCACCCCATGTCCATGTAGATCATGGGGGCCCAGCCCTTCCCCCTAGACCTCAGGGTGGGCGTGTGACCCAGGAAGGGCACTGCACAAGCCACTCAGAGGGGACAGGGACCCAGCTGGGCAGGTGTGAGCATCAGATTTGGATTCGTGCAGTTCTCACGGGGACGACAAGCCCTCCTCCTCGGGGATCACAAAACTGCCTGGCGCCGCCAGTGCCATCGAGGCCACCACACAGGGGAAGCCCCCTGAGGGTGCAGCCAAGGTGACAGGAGGATGGAAGGTCATGGGGGCATTTCTTTTAATTTGTGATTTTTAAAAAATGTCAAGGGAATAAAAACACACCCTCAGTGTGACAACAATGTATCCAGGTGGCTCATACATTGTAACAAATGTACCACGGGGTGGGGGAGGGGCTGCAGGGCAATCCCAGCCCTTTCCATTAAAATTTAAAATTGCTCTACACTACAGTCTACTTAGACAAAACCCAACCTCCAAGGTGGCATCCTGACTGGATCCTGGAAAACCCGGGAAGATCTGAATCAAGCAGGGACTTTAAATAACAGCAAGGTCAGCTGAGAGGGCTGCGTGGCGGCAGACGGGAAGCCTGGGCGGGAGATGTCTGGAATCCCCTGCGCTCTCTGCGGCTCTTTGCAACTGGAGCTCAGAAACCCGACGTGACTGTGCAAGGTCCCAGCGCCGGCCGGGCCAGCGCAGGGCTGCGGATCTGCACGTCCTGACGCAGGGCCTGTGCGGTCTCTTTGCCGTGCGGCGCGGGTCTCGGGTTCTCTGTGCGCTGAGTGCGCTGTCCGCAGACCGCAGCCTGCAGCCCCCACGCCTCCCTCGGGGCCTCAGGAGGTCCCAGCACAGGAGGGCCGCATGGGGACAGGTGGGGCTGTGGTTCTGAGCTGGCGGGGAGCTTGCCCTGAGCCCCCCACCGTGTGGGCCCCACTCGCCTCCCTCGGCACCCCCACCTGACTCTCCTCTTCAGCTGCGGTGACTTAGCTCTCGCCCAGGGCGCCCCTGCTTGCCGCCCCCTGGATGCTGGACCCCCACTGCCCCCTCCTGTCTTATTCCGGACTCTGGGGTCCCGGCTCCATGGAGCCTCATGAGGAGCTCGGGAGGTGACGTGTGCAAAGTGGCCAACGGGACACTTCCGAGGGACGTGGTCGATAGCTTTTGAAGCCCCACCCCCACTCACCCTCGGGTCGGACAGCAGCGTTCTGGACACTGGTTCTCAACCCTCGCAGCCTCTGGGCAGCTCGTCACCACTGCCCCCGGGACGCTCCTGCCTGGCCTCCCCACCTCCCTGGCCACCATTCTTGGCCGCCCTTGCTGGCTCCTCTGGTCTTTCCCACCCTCACAGCTGGGGAGCCCAGGGCTTGGGCCCCTTCTCCCTCCGCCCTCACCCACAGAGCTCTGCCCAGCATGGTGGCATCGTGGTCAGGTCCTACAGCTGCATCTCAGCCTGCACCCGGCCCTGAGCTGCAGGCCGCCTTCTCCAGGTGGCCCCGCCCCGCCCCCTCAGCCACCAAAGGCCCCCGGCTGCTCCCAGGGCTGCTCCCACCGTCCTCCTGTCTGTTAATGGCACCTCCACCCTTCCTGGCCCTTCGTCACTCAGACCAAACCCTGGGTCTCCTGGGACACCCTGCCAGGGCTCCACCCGTCGTCCAGACCAGCCACTTGGCCTCCCTGCTGGCTCCTCTGCCCCCCGCACGCGGGCTCTGCAGGCCTCCCAGGTGTCTGCTGAGCCCCTGCCGCCTGCTGGGCCAGCCCGCACCCCCCTCCCTCCTCCCGACCCTCCCTGGGGAAGGTGCTGCTGTCGCTGCCCCACAGTCAACTAAAGGACGGGGTGGGGGCGGGGGACCGGGGACTATTGAGACAGGAAGTGGTGAAGTCACCCAAGCCCAGGCAGCGGGTCACCAAGCTGGGGCCCCGGCCACCAGGCTGCTCGGCCTCCAGGCCCTGCTCCCTGCTCCCAATGCTCAGGCCGTGAAGGTCCCCACCGGCCTGACCGCCACATACTGTCCCCACTCCTGCCCGGTTCTCCCGGCCCCACCAAGGCTGTTCCCTGGACTCTGCCACTCGAGCCCCCAGCCAGCCCCAGTTCTGCTGACACAGGGCACTTCCACGGGCTCTGGGGACAGCTTGGAGCGCAGAGTCATCTCAGCCCATAAATATGTCATCAGGCACTAATGGGGGAGCCCTGATTGAAGGCACCCCCAGCCTGGGCCTCGAGGACAGTTAATGGCTCTGGGAGAGCACTAAAAATAAGTCACAAGTCGATGGCAGAGGAACTGCCCAGAAACGTCAGCCTGTGCGACTGTCACTGCCAGGGACGAGCAAGAGGAAAGGGGGGGCTCCAGAGCCAGAGCAGAACGGGCCGGACCGGCACCAAGGCCACCCCCACCCCAACAGCTGGCCCTTACCATTCCCAGCTCTGCTGTCCCCGAGTGCCCCGGGTCCATCCATCTCCTCGAGAGCTTCACGGCCACCCCTGACCCTGCCACCTCTCTCCTCGTTGTCCCTGCTCCTGCCCTTGTCCCTAAGGTCCCGTTCCTCCTGTGCTCCTGCCTCACCCAGAGGAAATCCCAAGTCCCATGAGACCTACAGGACAGAGCAAGGGGAGAGGGGATCCTAGGGAACAACGGTGACCAAATTAAATTACGTCAAGTGCACGTATGAATATGTAACAATGACTCCCGATACTTTATACAATTATAACGCACCAATAAAAATGGGGAGGAAAAAGCCCTACAACCCGCCCAGGACCTCTGCCCTGGGTCTGTCCTGTTCACTCACTGCCGCAGCCACACTCCTTGCTGTTGCCCCAGCACCTGGCGGATGCAGCCCCAGGGCCTTTGCACTTGCTGTTTCCCTTGCCTGGAATACTCTATTGCCCCTCCTTTCCCAAGGCCCCGAGTCTAGCATTCTTGTCATCCAGGAAGCAGTTCAAACATGTCCTCCCTGCCCACCGTGGCTGGAGTGGACTCCCTGGACGGCTCTATTCACAGCGGTTTCATATCCTGTACACCAGCCTCTAAAATCGTCCTGCAGGTTTCCTCGACTGCTCCCTGCCCGACCCTGACCACTACCTAAGCAAGACAAGGCGGATCTCGCGGCTTGAGGGGAGCACTCAATGGGACTTTTAAAAGATTCTGCAAGAAAGGTGGTCTGCAAGCCTCAAAAACGTCAAGGTTGTGGAAAACAGTGAAAGGGACGAACTGCCAGGTTAGAGGGGCAGAGTGGCTGGTGCAGCCTGTGACGCTGGCCCACGAGCCAGAGGACACTTGGACCTAACAGGAACGTGGACGAGTAGACAGCAATCCTGTTCCTGGGCTCCCGGTGCAGCTGAGCTGTGGTCACGGGCAGCAGGCCTCTGCTCCCAGGAGATGCCCCGAAGCCACTGGGGCAGAGTCTTGATGCTAATTCACAATGACTCCATCGAGGATCACAGGGAGGGTCACAGGGAGGGACAGAGAAAGGAAACGCGGGAAGGTGGAAACCTGGGGAATCAGCGACGTGGCACTAGAGTTCACCAAACTGTTCATAAAGCTTTTCTGTAAGTGTGGCATCGTCCCAAAGAGAACACGGAGGCAGGAGCCTGCTCGTCTGCTTGTGCCGGGAAGTCAGGGAACGGGCAGGCGGGGCGTGTGCACTAGGGGTGCGCCGACCGCACGTGCTCACAGGGCACACCCACAGCCACACCGTGCCTGCCCACCTGCACACGCACGCACTTTCACCACACAAGCCCACGCCTGTCCCCGCGCACGCCTGCCCACCTGTGTGGCCCACAGCTGCAGCACCAGGGCCCGCGCCTGCATCTCCTCCGATGCCCCCAGCTCCTCCAGGTGCCGCAGGTAGCTCTCCAGCCAGCTGCTCCGCTGGGCCCGCGTGGCCAGCTGGACGGGGGACAGCAGCTTCCACAGGTGGGCTTTGACGCTGCACACACGGTCCTTATCCGCTGCGGGGACAGAGCACAGAAGACAAGGGCTACAGGTCCACCCCCGACCTGGGGCCGGCCAGCCCTGGCCTCCCACAGGCTGTGGGTCTCCTGGGCGTCACTCCTTGGAGGTGGGAAGTTCTGCAGGGAGCGAGGCTGTGGCTGGAAGCCAAGGGGAGGCCCGTCCAGGGTGACCTGCTCACTGTGCACCTTGGTTCCATGGAAAGGGGGGACTCTGCTTTAGTCACCTGTGTCCCCAGAGCCTGGAATACTCTATCACCCCACCTTTCCCAAGGCCCGAGTCTAGCATTTGTACCAGATGCTCAATAAATGGTCTTAAAAGAAAGGTGACTCTTCACGTCACCCCCCCCCAGAGCGACTGAAGACTCAGCAGCCTGCACCCCTCCTGGGACCCCCCCAGAGCAGCGCCAGCAGGACACACAGAGCAGGACCGGAGGGCCACACTGCCTGGGGAGGGGACGCACTGACTGGGGATCCCAAACTCCACACCTCCAGGTAAAGTCCTATGGGGGGAGGCCCAGAAGCAGCCCGGGGAGCTCGAGCCAGGCCGTGGCTCCAGCGTGGGCCTCGGGCCTGTTCTCAAAAGCAGCTGAAAACCCAGGAGTCGGTGTGGAACCTTCTGGTGACAGGAGTTGTGCCGTGCTGGGGACCAAGCCCCGGCCTGCACGCCAGGCACGTGCTCTCCCCTGAGCCACACCACAGCCGCTTCTAGCATTTCTAAGGTCAGCATCTAAGACGGCCAGTCACTGTGCAGGCCACAAAGCATCTCTGGTGGCCAACCCTGCCCAAGCCCACCCTGCCATGGGACAGTAAGTAAACAGTGGGGGTTTACACCGGAAAAGCCACGAGACAGTGGAAATAAACACAGGTCTTCAGTACAAAGAAGGGCCAGGCGCGAGCCTGCTGGGAGTCCAGACGGCACCTGAGGACCCACCCGGGGTGACTCCCCCTCCGCGTGGTCGGCAGGCTACGGGCCATCCTGGGCTGGGGTACAGGGCCGTGCCCGCCCAACAGGGCCACAGTCAGCGAGGCCACATACAGGACAGAGTCCCGTCCAATTACCTCCCAGTGACGTCCTGGCTGTGCCCTGGTTGTGCAAGGCACAATCGCCTAATGGCGCCTTTCTCAGAATACCTCCTGTCACTAAGCCACACGTGACTCTGCATCACGAATATCAACTTTGGTCTCCTCCAAAACCACCAAGGGAAAGCGTTGCCAGGACGTTTCAAAGCGCTGGAACTTTCTCCCTGAGCGTCTGAACCAGGGGCTGTTTCAGGTGCACCCCCCCCAGGGCTTCCTCCCGGGCCCTGCTGTCTGGGGGGTTCGCGAGCAGGGAAAAC